TTATAGATGTTGGAAAAATGAGATATTTATCTTTTTGGAACTAAAGATATATTATTCTCCATTAACATATCTTGTTAACAGTTTGGGTTTGTCATTTACAGTTTTCTCAACAGCTGCTTACAAAAATAATTTTCGCTAGTGAATTCTATGAGATTTCCTATTTTAAATTTCGAGTTGTTCAACCCAATGCATTAATAGTTTAATTAAAGAAATTTTTATAATGTTAAGGAGAAATCATTTTAAGCAGAATCAAGATTATGGTCTAATGCATATAATTAATAGTCCATATTAATGTCTTTTTTAATGCATTTAATTCATAGATCATATCGACATGTCTTTAATTAATTCATGAGTGCATTTGGGAATTTGATTCTCGAAATCTTTAATAAATACACGTTCATTAAGTTACTTATTTGTTCAACTTTAATTAGCTATAGATGTAAAAGAGATGTAATTTTTTCTAGTATGAAAAAACCAAATCTAAATAAGATCATCAAGCAATTTTTATAGCTTATGAATTTTTCCTATTTCGTCATGTCTTTATTGTTATGTGCATTAATAAAATGTCATCAATTGCGGCTTAATTTGCTGTTCTTATGATGCATCGCAACGGGGAAATCCCATGATTACGAAAATCCCATGACTACCTGAGAAGATCTTAATCATTATCCTAATTAGTAAAGTGTCACGAATAATTTATTCCTATTGTCCCGTATCATCTGAGCAAAATTTATATTAACGCTGCCTTCCAATAATAAGAATTTCTTTCCCAAGCATGTAGATTATCATTAGACATTTCATACAAAAGATCTTATCATACCTCATTTCTTTGATCCATAGAAATGATTACTTCTATTTTCATCATTACATTATATCTTCTTATCTCGAAGCATAGACATGCTCCTCTTGTAAAAATCCTTACAAAAATCCATATTTTGTACTGTAAACCCGCAAACGATCTGTAATATAGATAGTTATATAATAACCAAATTGTATATAAAGGACGGCTCTCGAAGGTCTGAAAGACAGACAACGTGTGGTTTGAAGAAAATAACTAAATAATAAAGTTATTTTAATTCCTACCTAACTACGTCTCGGCTTTTGTGCCATAACGAAATTATAGCTTTATTTCTTTTGTGCTTAACAAAATCGAAGGCTTTACTGCTTTGGCCATACAAAGTTGATGGATCGCGATTAATTCTTTTGATATTGATATTATTATTTTGACATTGTTTTTGTTACTTTAATTTGTTTTTTATTGTTTTCTCGTGAATTCCTATTATTGTTTTGGAATAGTTATATGATTTATTATTTGTGTATATTTTTCAATCGCATCAGTAACTTTGAGATCAAAACTTTATTTTGAACTTATGTTTTGTCCTTGAATTGCACAATCCCCGTCGAAGATCGGTACAGGAGACCTTTAGAGCCACAGTAAACTTTACTTCGTGTAAGTCTTAAGTCCAGTCCCGACCTTTGTTATTAACAATTCGCTAGTCAATCCTAACTTTCGAGTGGTGTGTAACAGTATAACCGGTTACTATCGATATAGAATTTATATCAAAAAGTTTTTGCAAGGAACGTTTTCTCACAAAAGTTCTATTTTACTTTTTGAAATAATCAAATTCGAAAAAACAGTTATCTCTAACTTGATTATCATTAAAACATAAGAAATTTATAAATCGTACTTTACTTTATATACTGTAATAGTAATCAAATAATATCAGAATCAAGTGTCTAAATAAAAAGTTTTCTTTTAACATATCATATATATTACTTTTCTATAAACTCATTACAAAATTTTTAGATCTAAAAACCATTCTCCCTCTTAATACTTCATCAGGAAGTTTTGAAAACTATCATTGGGTGCATCGCCACTCAATTTTTATATTTCTTCGATCTACATCATTAAACAATATACATGAACAACGCTATTTATTGCGCTAGAGCTGTTTTTAATTATAGAATCATGAAAAAAGTAGATAGTTTTACTATCTATTTTTGAGGGTACTTATACACGATCCTATTCAAAATCGACAAATTGACAATATACATAATCACGTGTCCCGGCACAATACATATGCACTCTCGACAGTGAATTCTTTCGTTTAATGAATTCTTTCAGAAGTATCATTAAAATTTTGCTTAATACAATGAAGTTATATTATTCTTTCGATATAAGCTATATTGAAGATTTTTTCCTATAATGCGGGTGAGTTTTGTTGATACATGTATTAGTATGGATTTATTGTATATCCTCAGCACTATCTTTTACCCTTAGTCATGCCTTTTAACCTAACTTAGAGTACAGAGAGATGAGAATGAATCGTGAAAATAAAATAATATAGAGGGGAACGTGATAGATCCTGATGTATTTTGGGATGAAAAAAGAAAACCTTGTAAAAGCTCAGCCAAATTAAGACATCTATCTTGCGCAGTATTTAGGCTATGCAAATTAATTTTATGTTTAACCCTGGAATTTAACCCTTATCGAATTATTTGCATGATTCTGCCTGCACAATAATCAGGTGACGAAATGTAACTGGACTAAGCAATGAGCATATCATTTAGTCAAAAACAATATCCGCACGAATATTATCCCGATTGTTGGGATATACCGACATCAGATTTACCTCTATAAGACGAATTTGAATGGTGATATTTTGGCTCAAAACCAACACCGGATGAGTTATCATGTCTCGTAATAAATTGTTATGTTCACCACATTACAGCATGTGTTTCGCTATTTGACGGTAAGATTTAAAATATCGATGTGCAAAACAAGTCAAAACCAAATACATGTATATGTATATGATTTAATTATTAAACAACGCATAAAATTAAAAAACCAAATTTCAAAGTTTACAATTATTTTACCAGCTCTATACTAGTGTAACTAAGCTGTCGTCAGGTTTTTCCTGAGATGGAACCTTCATTTTTTTAATAAACGCATTCGAGCCAATTCTAGCTTTTTCGACCGCATCTTCCAATAGCTCGATATCATCCAACGTATATGCCAAACCATCATCTATATTCTTCAATTCGGTCACGATATCAGAAAGACGCTTCTCAAATCTCAATAAATTGACATCCAAAATATTCAATTGATCCCCAAGCACTTTCATTAAGTTTAACGTCACATCGACACTGTGAATTTCTTGATTTTCTAATCCGCCAAAAAAAAATATGAAAAATGGTGACACTATGCGATTTTCATGAAATTTTTGGCTCTCATCTTTTCCATCCAATAATAATCGGTCAACTTTATCTTGAACATTCAATCCAAGAAGAACATTTGATTTCACTTTTCGTACGTGATTCTCGAGATTATTAACAAGTTTTAAAATTTTTTCCAAATGTTCAATGACAATTGCTGCTTTAATTCCTCGGCTATTCGATATAAGTGTATCTTTTATTGCACGAACATCTCGTTGAAAATGTAATAAAAATCGATCACCCTTGTTAACCATCTCGTCGAGATCCGAGGCGATGTCAAATGATAAATCACCGAGAGATCGCAAAGAAGTCGAGATTTTCTGGCTCGTCACTTTACTGATACTATTAAAGCGTTCGATTCTATTCGCGAGGTTACGGAAATTGACGCGATTAGCAATTAAATCGTCAAGCCCTATAATGAATATTTTTTGCCGTTAATTTGAATAAACTTCAAGATGATTATAATTAACAAGAGTTTACCTTGTACCTCTACTGGTTTCACGCCATCCGCTATTTCATTTAAAGTAAGAGCAAACAACCTTGAATTCGTATGAGATGAAAAAAACGGATAATAACTAGACTAATAAAAATATTTAACAAACTATTTAATTCGCATCCGTCATAATGTAATTAAATAATTTTTCTTTCTAACATATACATGCACTTACGAATATTGTCAAAAATATCAAAACAAAAACAATGAGCGCATGTCTAGAAAAAGAATTACGTATGCAATATCTCAAATTTGGGAGACGACGAACTATTTTATTTGTAGGATAAACATGTATACAGTATGTATTTATTGATTAAAATTTAGTAACAACCGATTAACTAAGTTACCTTCGCGATTTTCGAAAGAAGCCATGATGATGTCTAAGAATACATATCCAGCAATAAATCATACAGAAACTCATTATAACCAAGAATTAGTGTTACACTAAAATAAAAGTTTATGTGATATAATACACTATTATGCGCAGCATCGATATTTATTGTTTTCCTTGTTGACGATTGACAAAAAGCAAAGTCATACATATACAAATCAAACCGAAACACGAATAAAAATAAAAACTCGTGATGAACTTTTATTTTCCGCTATTCTTAATGCAGAATTAATTTGCATTGTCCATCTCAGAGATGGAACAATCCTAGACTATGCATGAACCATTCTGTGCCAAAATTAGGTGAACTCACCGGCCTAGCAATCTCAACTGTCCGATGCAATGTAAATCAACAGGAACAATGGGATGTCCTAAAAAAATTACTGTGAGAAAGGTGGATCAATATTTTCATAAAACTTCTTCCATGTCCCTATGAAAAATTCATATCGTACAATTGGTAGACATTTATGTTACATCGATGTTAACAGCAGTTCAAAAAAAGAAACGTATAGAATGGGCCAAACGTCACCTTAATGATGACTGGAAAAAAACCTTATTTTCTTATAAAATGGCATTCCAACTATTTCCGAATACAATTAATCATTGTATAAGGGTAAACGATCGGTCTGTCCAGTACCAAAAAACTTTCAAAATTTTTGCGTGGGGTGATTTCTGTGCGAAGGGAAAAACCTGTTTATTTTGCTTTCAGGGTATTATAAATGCTGACTTTTACGTCGAAGTTTTGCAGCAACATGTCGGGAAATCAAAAATGCTTGGGAGAAATTGGCGTTTCCAGCAAGATAACGATCCTAAGAATACAAGTGGTAAAGCTAAGTAGTTTCTTGCGGAAAATGTACCCGAAGTTCTTGATTGGCCGTCATCGAGTCCGAACCTATCGAAAACCTATGGGCAATCGTAAAACATGAAGTAGAAAAATGAATGCTGCAAAATTTAAACGAATTTGATGCCACAGTTAATCATTGAGAATAACGATGAAGGTGAAAATGTGATCTGCGTGAAATTGTGATTAGAACGTTGTTTTTGTCACTGACTGTATAGACTGTATACATGTATTTATGCGCAGCATCGATATTTAAACTTGGTTATTTTCTTTCCTGAAAAATTACATGTATATAAATTCAAAGAAAGCTTAGTAGTAAATTAAAGAAATTTTTGGCTCAGATATTTCTAAAATAAATAATAAAATACAGTACATATAAAATACTCGATTTTTAATATTAGCTTACAAGTTATGTTGACACTCCGGCGGGACATTCAGAACCTTGGCAGGTTATTTATCTGATAAGCGAAACCCCGAATTCACGAATCCCGACATCGTGTTGATTTTGGCATTCTATGCATTCGATTTTCCAGTGCAGGACCGCAATATTGTATCGTTATATAGACTTAGAATTGAAATGTATCGCACTCTTTAATAAAACTGCAGCCTCTCGATAGAAGATCACGATTGTGGATAAGCATCTCAATATAAGCTACAGAGGCCTAATATTAATGTGGACGGTTTTAATTTTTAAATATAAGCAAAATTAAATATTAAATACTTGAAAAGTTTAGCTTTCAAAAAAAATAGTCTTTAAAATATCAATACCCAATGGACGAATCAAATGATAGCGACTTGGATCACTGGACTTCGAGATATTGCAACGTAAAAGTCAAATACATGTACGTGCGTGATCGATTTGGCCTACGTTGACTTTTACGTGATCGTAATCACATTCTCGAATCGGCAGGGACCCGGAAAAATTTCGTTTTGATTTTGAAAAAATTCCGGTTTATTCCGAAATTGAATTTTATTAATTATATAATTAATTCTTATTATAAATACATAATCGTAAGTGCACGAAGAGATTCTTGACTAAGATTTATC